CAAAGCATGTGCTCCACCACTAAGCTATTATACTTCCCCAAAACTTCCCACTTTACCTTTATTTAAAAAATACGCAAATACAAACTGCTGTTCACAAACCTAACAGCATCTCAGACATCTGAAAATTCATACGAATTGTGAATTTATTTCAGAACAGAATGACAGGCAAAGCTTTCTGCCAAAATATCCTTTCGAATGGTCACCTCCACATTAAAAAAGAAAGAAAGATCAAGCATCACAAAAATGTGGTGCAACCCTTCATAGAACACCATGAAAGACAGGTTGTCTGTAATGTCAAATCATTAAACTTTCTGCCAAAACATCACCATCATTGTCGTTGCAGGGCTGTTGCGGAGTGTAGCCCAAGTTAGTCCAGAGGAGATGTGCCCACCCACCCACAAAGGGTCACAGGGCACATTCTGGAGCAAGCAGCTGACAAAATGATGAATGAACAACTAGGGATTCAGAAAGTTTAAAGAGCAGAGGAAGCGGCATGAATGACAATAATAGGAATGTTCCTGTCTGAAGTGTCAACAATGTTGACATTACAGGCAACCCGTCTTGCAGGGTGTTCTCTGTAGTGGTGCATCAAATTCTTGTGATGTTCCATTTTTAAATGCAAAAGCTACCATTTCAAAGATGCAAAAAGGTCCACAAAAAAACTTGCCTTCTACTATTTTGCAGTTTCTTTCATAACCATTTGCAGTCACCCATCACCCTGATTAGCTGCTACTCAACCCCATTTTTTTTTTTATTTCAAATAATATTTGCAACCATTTCGGCTGTCTCATTTTGTGAGCTGATCCACATGTAATGGCACATTGAACAGCTCTCTTTAAAGTCCCCTTGCTTTGAAGTAATCCTTGCAAACACCTGGATTATAATTTGGGGGCGGGGTAGAGATCTCACAAAGAGCTACTTTTGGGTAGCAATTAAAAGCAAAATTTGTAATAAATTATAAAGATTAGACCTGGATTTCTTACCAGTCAATATGCATTACCCCACTTAAATGTATGATGTACAGACAGCCATGGTCAGGCACTTCTTGAGGGTCCCCAGCTCAGCAAGAGGACCATGAAAAAGAGCTCCCTGGACATGCTGCAGTAAAGAGGAAGACTCACTGAAGAAAGGAGGCCAGTGGAGAGTTCTTGCTCAATGACCCTCCAAAATCTGCAGCCTTAAGTGTTTGATGCGTTAGTGTGTTTTTATCTTTCGCTGGAAGATGTATAGAGTGGCAGCGGCAACCGTCAGATGGGTGGCATATAAATAATAACTTTATTTATTGTTTCATAAAATGTATACACTACTTTGTTGTTGTTGTTTAAAAAACAACACCTCAAAGCAGTTTACAAAAAGATCAAAGCATAAAATCAGGGGGGGAAATACAGAACATTAAAACATACCAGAAGTTAAAAGACTAAAACAGATTAAAATTTGCATCAGCATTTCAAAGCATCATCTGGGTAGCTTTGTTAAAACAATAATGTTTTTAGCATGTGCCGAAAAGAATACAATGAAGAATACAAATAATACAAAGTGTAGGTACAGTCACAGTATGCAATCGAGTTCTTACAAAGGGGTACCTAAAATACAATGGCCTATTCTGTCTTTTTGCAGAATTTCTAAATCATAAGTGCCACTAATCAATAAAAACAAGCAATGAGGAGAAACATCTAACTCAGGGATGGGGAACCTCCAGCCCTTTTCACAGCCTGCCCCACTTGATTTCCTTCAGCAATAGCTGTGAAATTTGTGATAAGTTTGAAATCGGGAGATTGTGATTCTGATCAGAGATTATGGCTCAGGAGAGAGGAAGACAGCCTGAGTCCGGCTCAATCCTGCTGCCAAGCTGTCCGTGATGCAGTCTGCTCTTTTCCTCCATGAACGGATCACTACATTTCCATGCTGTGCGATGAAAAAGATAACCCATTTCTCAGTGCACAACTTGGAAATAAAGTGAGCAGCTCATTGAAGGTTACACCAAGCTGGTCCAAGTGGATTTGAAAAAAGCAGTATGATATCATTCTTTGTATGGAATGATTTTAGAGTGGGAAATGAAACCCCGTCCTATTTGTTTCTGAGCTTTTCTTTCAGACAGGTGTTGCAAAATGTGCACATGCTTATTAATTAATGGAATCAAAGCTTAATTTTCAGCAAAGATGTTAGGGGACACAAAAAAAGCAATAAACTAATTAAGTGTGTAAATTAACCTAATTGCTTTGTTCTCATATTACACAATTACCCAGGGCCAGAGCATAATGATGATATTCTACAATACCCTAAAAAGAATAATCTGGAGTGGGGGAGTGGCAGTGCTGGTGGTGTTTAGGCTTTTTTGAATGTTTTCAGACTCTTCTAATTTATAGAAGATTACTTTGAAGAAGAATATTCTAAGTCGGTAGCACCCAAACTTTCCTTTCCCCATGAACCACTTGAAAATTGCTGAGGGTGTTGGTGGACGACGTAATGATTTTTCTGCCTGTTTTAGAAATCATATTTTTATTATTTCTTTCTGAAGCACACCAGCACTGCTTTCTTCTTACTCTGCTTTAACCTGCCATGTTGCTAATGCAAAAGAGACTGTGAAGGGGCAGCAGGTTGAATAATGCAAATGTACATTCTGACCAATGTAACTTTCATACTCCCATTACAAACACAATAGGTGCAAGAACCACGGTGTAAAAACAGCCTGAATCTTGCCATTGAAACTGCAATATTAATATGCAATGCATAACAATACTATATTTAGAGATATATTTCCAGGATCATTTTAGGGGATATTTCATTAAAATAACCATACAGAATATAGAGGAAACAATGTCCTTGGTGCAAATATCTGGCTCCATCTTTATGCCACCATAAATGTTATCTCTTGCTCTCACTTTTAGCTCACTGAAGAATACTCGACATTTCAAACCAGATAACAGAAGCTGCCTAGAAGCAAAGGGGAAGGTTTTCCCTCATACTTGTTGCCATAAACACTGATCCCAATCTGTATTCAATTGTCTGTGAAACAAAAGCCAAGGATGCCAAAGTCTGGCTCTACACAAAGAGGGGGGAAATGATAAAAATCCTATTCTGCTATCACTTCCCCAAGAGGATGTCAGCCCCCAACGAATGACGAATTCTGTGAGAGACACTTGCCACTAGGGGAGAAAGTTCAAATCTTAAGATAAGGCCGTCAAATATATTAAATATACTGTTTTGCACCTGCTTTGTGGAGAGATGATGAAAGTGATATTGCAAATAGCAAATTAATTCAACCTTTTTATTATCTTGATGCCACATAGTCTGGAAGGAAAGTATTGATGTTTTATTTAAAATCCTAAAAACGCCAATCCTGCTGCCCCAAGATACTTCACTGAAGACATTGACAGATTTTAAATGATCTGATTAGGAGAGAAGGAAGCATCATCTCAATTGATCAGTCCAAAAACGACATAAAAATATGAGCTTCAAGCCTTGTGTTTTTTCCTATGAGGGAAGTTGCTAATGGGATTAAAAGGTATCAACTAGTTGCATTGCTTGAATAATAAACATTGTTCTTATGATGCTATACTTTTGAGTTCAGCTCTTAGACCTATATCTAATTTATGAAAAGGCAATGACCTCCATTGTTCTGAAGTGCTTAGGAGTGTAAATCACCTTATTTATATAAAAGAAATCTATAAAACAAAGATCCATCTATTAACTTCCAAAGCTGAAAGTCAGAATTTGAGATCTGAGATTATGAACAGGTAATATCCAATTAGAGATAAAAGGTGCATAGGGTGAGGGAGGATATTTTTCACCCATTCATTACTACTTAAGAGCTTGCCCAAGATTTTGAGCTTCTTGGAACACTCTTCCAGTAAAGCGAGAGAGGGGGGAACTGCCTCAACCATTCTATGAAGCTTACACAATCTCCTCAAAAATCTGACAAAACGAAGTTATTTTATCTTCTGATGGGGGCACAATCCATGGATTAAGTGAGGCAGAATTCCTGCAGTTAAACTGTTTGAATTCCAATTATCTCAATTACAATAAAAACCAACTGCAGTGGCTAGTGTACTCCCACATCATATTGTACTGTGTTTATCATATCATATCATACTAATACACTAGTACTCTCTGAGAAATCTGCTTCCCTGCAAATATATGCCCTTGGGTATGCAGTATTCCACCTTGCCATCTGGAGACAAGAACAGCATTCGGATTCATCATTGATTATGGAAATATATCTCAATATTTCTGAACTTTAGAAAATTTTAAATCTTAGCTGGCCCAACTGACAATCTATTTATGGGAAAGTACTGAGCTTTGATAACATTTAGCACAACTGTGATTTAAGAAAGAGAGAGAGAGAGAGAGAGAGAGAGAACTGCCTTTCACTCCAGTTGTTCTTTCAACTCAAAACAGAAGGGTTGACTCATTTATCAAAGATGAAGATCGCTTAGCTCGTAAATCTCCAAGAGCAGAGATTTATATAAGCTCCCTTGATCCTACTGGGAGTAGCAGGAGGATAAGTCGTCACACTATCAGCCCCGTAAGGGAACAGACCACAGAAAACCCATGGATTTACATTTGATGGTATGTACCATGATAGACAATGCCAATTATTATTATTTTTTAAAGTGAGGGCAGTTACTGCAATCCATGTGCCACACAAACCTTTGTTCTTGCATTATTAATTATATATTTGTACACAGGATAGGAAACCACGTTATACTGAGGGTCTCCACTTGTGGCATTCCTAGAAAGCGTGGGTCTGAGCGGTTTTCTCCTTGCCCCACTCCTTTCCAAGGGAAAGCCCATTCTTTAGTGATAGATTGGAACAAACAGCATCCAGGAGAAACCTGAATTGCCGATTGCTTCGGTGAGCACTAAAGAGCGATTTTCCCTGGGGGGAAACAACAGGACAAAAGAAGTATGGATAAGCCCTGAATCAGACCATTGGTCCACCCAGCTTAATTGTCTACACTGATTGGCAGTGACTCTCCAGGGTGTTAGGCAGCTCTACCTGGAAATGCCAGAGTTTGAACCTGGGACCTTCTGCATGCAAAGCAGGTGCTCTACTGAGCTACAGACCTTCCCCATGCAGAATGAACACTACTAGGGAATCCGTAGTCCAAAGGCTAGTTTTCATTTATCATGTGATGGATAGAGTGGCGAGTTTGGACTGTAGAGAGAGACCTAGATTCATATATCCACACACCCCTGAAGTTTATTCCTTAACCTTGGTTACAATATCTCAACCTAATCTACCACATACGCTTACTGTGAGTACAAAATGGGAAGAAATATCATGTGTTCCTGAGAGGGAAATGTAATCAATGCATTACATTTGGAGCTGGAGGTCATCTATATGCAGATGTCCACAGCGCTATAACTCATTAACTGTTGCCTCTGAGTATGAAAAAAATGAGAAATAATGCAGGGTAGGTGTTTTTGTTTTGTTTTGCTTTAGAACTTCTTTCCAAACCTGTGATGACATGAGACACCTGTTATTTCCACACTTTGAAAATCCTACCAACTGCCAAAGCCCCAGAGCCACTCTGTATTGCCAATTTACTATTCACAGCTGCTTCCTTCTAAAATTAATCACTGGAAAGCAAAGACAAATAAACAGCAAAACAGGCTTCTCAAAATGAACTGGAGCATGGAAGTTGAAATAAAAAAAAAAGAAACCCCTCACAGTGCCATTAAAAAAGGGAAAGGGGAAAAGACAAAGCACTCAAGGAAAAGACAATCGATAAGAGGAACAGAAATGAAATTTACAGTACAAGCAACTTAACTGCATCTAACACAGACCATGACAGCTTTTAAAAAAGGAACAACCGGGAGAAGCCACTGAACACTCAGATTCTTCCCATGTGCAGTATATTAAGTGCCAAATGAGGGAAGAGAGGAATACAGAACCTACTTGTTCCTTGCTTTATTATCATAAGATTATTATTTAAAAAAAAAACCCTCCACAAAACATGAATCTACAGAAATCTCTCTACTCAATGGCGCAGTCAGGGAAGGACTTCGGCACCTAAGTCCAGGACGTTATCCCTTTCCATGACTATGGACAATAGAATGAATAACATCCTGGATATATGGATGAAGAGGCCTTACCTCTAAGTCACAGACTCCCACAACAATCTAAAAAGTCCTACACCTGGCCATGCCCTTAAATAGGCCAGAGGTGGGCTGGGTGGCCCTTGCCCCTGATTGGCCACGCAGGCGCTGCATTGTGCCATTTAATGCCAGGTAGCAATCCCCTCCCCCGCCGCACAGGAAGATAGTGGGCTCCCCAGACCAGCTGTGGCCACGTTATGCAGCAAACGCCACCCACCTGCAGCCCCAGGTGAGCAGATATTATCCCTTTCCAGCACTACAGACAGCAGAATGAATAAAAGGTGGCATAAATCTGCCCAACGTAGAGAAGTTGCATCATTTTATTTTTCCACAATTATGGGTGGCTGATGGTTGTTTTCGTTTTAGCACAGGAATCATGGGACCATATTAAAACTCTAAATGGCTCAGGTCTAATGAATGTGAGAAGGTGAGACCCCGCTCTCTACAATGAAGGTACAGTTTTTGATGGCAACAAGACACAGGCCTTTTGAATGACTACGCCAACACTATGGGACACCCTGCCCCATGAAGCATAATGGCTCCCTCTCTCAATGTCTTTCACTAACTGACAATGACATTTTTTATTCCATCAGGCTTTTAGTTTCTCTCTTCCAGTGTTGCTTTATAATATTTATGTATTTTTTTGCTGTAATTTCTGTATTTAAATAAATGTTAATTGCAACATGGTTTTGAATTGTTGTAAGCCACCTTGAGTGGTACATGGGAAGTAGAAGTATGCAGTAGACTTTCCCCCCCATATGAATGAATGAATGAATAAATAAATAAACAGCAGCCTCAGGAACCTCCTATATTTCACTGTGATGGCAATCTGAGCTCAACTATTTCAAGTTTTAACCACTTTTAACAGAAATTAAGCACACTGTACTGCCTCATTCTCACTCTTGCCCGGCTCACTTATGCTTGCCTCACCCAGGGGGGTGGGTAGGCAAGGCTTATAAGGAGAACTGCTGCCAAAGTGAACAATTATGTGATTCTCAACTTGTTAAGTATCCAGAGGAGTATTGATGAATGTAGAAAATCCAATAAATGCTTGGAATTACCTTTAGGCTAATGTTTTAACATACAATATAGCCTCTGCGTTTGGAACTCCATGGGCCTTCGGTTTTATAAATATCTTCCAAACCACTGTTGCAAACGTCAATTCCCACTCCTCAACAGAAAGGATTCCTAGGCTTGTTAGAGCAATCCCGTAGCCTATTTCTATCCCTCTGCATTTTTTTTAAGCAGAGTTCAGTGTAACTACAATAAAAACAGCAGCAATAAAATTCATTTCACTCTATACAATAAACATCAAAGAGCCCATCAAGGTGCGTTTCTTAATGGATTAATATAAAGCCAATGTGGTTCAGTTTGCTCCCTGTGGAAAATATGCCAAACACACTGCCAATGAATACAGGATGCAAGTTGGAAATTCAAATTGAGGGACCCTATTCTCTCCACCCCCTGCAGCATGTAAATTGCCTGTTCAGCATTGTATGCCAGAGGGCCTCACAAGGCTAAAAAGAGAGCACAAATCTTCACAAAGGAAGAGGAAGCAGCAGGGGGCTGACTAGAGATTTGTTTTCATACTAAGACTGCATTTGGGTGTAAAATGAAATTATGAGAAGACTAAGGCCAGCTTCATTTACTACAAGAGGCAATTTTGGCTTTAGCAGAGTGTTTTGCATCTTCTAGCACAGGGATGGGGGATCTCTGCCTTACCTAGTTAGGCTTGCTAGGCCTCCCCATTTGGTCCAATAGGTCATTTTGGCCAACCCATGCTGACCTGTCTTATACCTGATATCGTAGATAGCATCGAGTGTGGGGCAGGCAGAAACCTGGTTCCACCAAAAAGTGGGTTTGCAGGCACCAATGCTATGCAGAGAGCTGTGCAAGTCTTTCAGCTCCTGCTGATTGCTAAAGTCTCTTGCTAAGCCTCTTTCAAAGCGTTCTACAAGATAGTATCTAGCAGCTAGTATCTTCCTTTGCCAAGGTCACTGGAATTCAGCAATATAAATCCATATAGATACAGGGAAAATATAGGCAATCATCCAGACCTCCTCAAGTTGGAAACAATTAGATTCCAGATACTTGTTTTCACATGAATGCAAACAGCGATCCAGAATGTGTTAGAGCAATTCCAGATGCTGTTCCTTTCTTAAGTAACACAGCAGCCACAAAAGCATTGGAATGGCTAAAGGGAGAATCATTGTCGCTTGAGCCTGTGGGTGGTATGAGATGGCTGCAACAGGAGGAATAAAGAGAGGCAGGACAAAATAATCTTTTGCAGAGTCCATGGTTCCCTTCCCACATTGTCCTACTGAAGTGAGAGCCACATTAGCCGTAAGTACTTCATGTTTGGTGAAATTTAACATAAAAGAGCCTTGGCACTTAAGAGATACGATGACACAGGTCTAATTTTCACATGGTTTCTAACATGGGAGGAGCACAGAGAGAAGAACCATGGTGCACCTGCAGCAGCACAACCAGACGCCTTCATCTGCAACATGTCTCTCCTGTATCGGTCTCTACAGCAGGCACTGTAACCTTCCAACCCCAAAGGCACACTCCTCCATTGTCTCCCGAGACAGATGCCAGCCAACTCTAACATAACCTTGTAGCATGGAAGGAGCTGCAATGTGACAAAGATAATGTAAGGAATGACCCATCTATTCCTTTACTCTCAGCAGCAAGTGACATGTAGTTCAAAATTAATTCGTGACATTAGCATTTGCCCAAACACTTTTAGAGCATTTGTTGATTTCAAAATACATTATATTGTTGTAGTGATTACAATAAACATGCAAGGTGAGTAGGTCAGCATTAACCTCGCTGTATTGTAGATTGGCAAGATTTGAACTGAGGATTTCTTGCATTCATGGCTCAGTCTTTCAAACATTTTGCTACACCAGCAGCACATGCATGCTGAGTTTGGGCACATGCCCTGATGTGGCAGCTTCACCAGGCGCATAGGTATTTTGTAACACTGCCGCCATCCCACCCCAAGCCTCAGTGAACTGAACATGGCATGGTGAAATGCACACATGCATTACTTCCAAAATTCTGAATTCTGCTGATCAGTATGAACAGCATCTACTTCTCTGTTTTGAGCAAGCTCATGCCACTTTTCAGTTTACTTTAAGGATCATGTCCATAAGCACTCTGTGAGGTTCATATAGCCCACTATCATTTCAAGATTGATTGGATCCAGAGAATATAGAATACAGATACCAGAAAATGAAATCTGCCAAGGTAAGAACAACTGGGGGAACGGAATGAGTTTGCTACGGAAATTCAGGAACATTGTTGTCCGTTTGCATCAAAAACAATGTTTACTAAGTAACAATAATTATGCTGGAGGAGCAAACACATCACATTTCCACTGCCCGTTATCTCAGCTTTGCTATCCTCATTCCTCCCGAGCCATAGGGGTTCACAGTGAAAACTGGCCACCCACTTATGCTCTGCGTCTCCTTCTTACGACTGCAATACTAACCCCACATAGCTAGGAGAAAGCCCCATTAAATTCAATAGGATGTTCTTCTGAGTAAACGTAAGTTAGGATTGCAGCGTGAGACTGCTATGCCTGTGTGGCCATGGCTTTTCTATCTGCCAACAAAATGGCTGTTCTGAAACTATGCTGGGTGATCCGGTTCTCTACCTTGCCTGGTGTAAAGAATGTCAGTCATGATACTTTTTGCATTATGACTGAGTTTATCTGTTTGAGCAGCATATTAACCCACACATCTTAAGATGCCCCCTGTCTCGCTCCTGAACAAGCAATGCATACACCACTGATCATTATTACCTCCGAGACACATAATAATTTCAGGAAATGAACCATCAAATTAGAATTTTTTTTTAACTCCGCAATGTGTTCCCCTCCCTCCCCGCCACCTTTGCAGCATATCCACGCAGTTGGTTTGATGGGAAATGAGGCACAGTGCTCCAAGAATAAAAGTAATAAGAA